GGGGGGGGGTTGGGGTTTAAGGTTGGAAGAGATCTTCCAAATCAGAATACAAACAGATGGCATTCAGTAGAAACAATCTGTCTCCATAACACACTTCAGTAAATTTCCCCACATGGGCCTGGCAGAATGGGACAAAGGAACACCACATGATCTCAAGTGGCTGGTGGGTCCAAGCAGCACAGCACCAGTGCGTGCCGATCTTAATGCAGCATGAAACTGCAGGAAAAACTACCGATGACTTAGACATCAAATTTCAGTACTGGCTGAGTGACCGAGACATGATGAAAGGAGAAAAGGATAATGGTAGCGGCTATTAAAAAATGCAATTGTGTCACGTTCACCACTCTCAGGCATTATGGGAATAATTAATTGTTACTGTATAGTTATGCCTTAAACAAGCCAGATCATGTCCATTCTCTAATGGTTTCCCTCCTCCCCCACGATCATTAGAAAGTGCTATCCCTATGTTGTATTACCTGAAACTTTACCCTGAAGTCTCCCCATCGTTAACACTGTCCCGGCCGCTCGCTTAAGGGCTCAACGGCAGGGGCTCTGCGCCTGGGCCGCACCTGCAACACCTCACTGAGTTCAAACCTACCCTCGCCTGCTTGTCACACCTAAGCTGCAACCTGAGCCTCTCAAAGAAGCGCTCCAAAAATACCACTCAATGACAGGAGGGAGTTTGGCCAGCCTCCACTTTTCATCACATAATCTCCATTCGTATTCCGATACTGGCATACACCTGAGGACATTGGGCCTCAGTCACCAATATTTTCTTAAGAATTCTCTTAAATTTGTTCCTGCGAAATTTGTTAAGAACAACCTACGTCGGATTCATGACGTGTTCTTCAGTAGCAGAATTGTTTGCACCTTTGTTCTTAAGAATGGTGAATCCCACGTCTTCGTAACTGAAAGTGTGTGCCAGTTTGTCCTAATTAGCATAGGGAAACGCCCTGCAATTTCCCATAAAAGGGCATGAGACTGTAGGGCCATGTGCAAGGAATGGCGAAGAGGCGCTTAGGCTGTGAGTCGCTTGGCACTAAGAGGAAAAAAAAACTTCAGTAATGCTAAAGTAGAAGTATTAATACAGTAAAATCCCATTATAATTGACTCGCTTATAACGGAATATTGTCTATAACGAACGAGGTCTGCTGGTCCCGGCCGTGCGCCTTTAAGAACATGCAGAAAAAGCATCGGATATAGCGGACTCACATATAACGGAAATTCACTTACAAAAGGACAGACAATTTGGTCCCCAGGGCCACTTTTAGCTGTAGTTTTGTTCGGCTATAATGGACATGCAGCTCTGCCTACAAGGCGCATGGTGCGCCGGTGATATCCTGCGCAGATACATAGTCGGGATTATTAATAGTCACGCATCTGCTCAGGTGAAGTTGGATTACTACATGTACAACATAATAATCTATACCACAAGTGTGTCTGCTGAGGTGTGGCATGAGTAAATGGTGTCCTGTAGTTGTGTTCTGGGCATACAGAAACTCAGGATATAACGAACTGTTTTGCCAAGAAAACATTGGTGAATGTCAGAATCTTAGTAAAAAAGTGCGTACGTGGGGTTTAAGAACAAATTTGATCGTAGGAACGGTTGGTGAATGAGGCCCATTGAGCCCCATATTTAAAGGCATACATCATTTCAAAGGTGTGCATTTGGGAGAATTAAAAAAAAGGTACACTCAGTACCACTAACCAATCTGTAACAGCACATATAAAACATTAGATGGCTAAATTTAACAGCTGAAAAAGAATGTTCCATATCCCAGAAATAGAGGTGGGCGATAAATCGATTTTATCGATTAATTCGAATTTACAATTCAGGACGATGTGTTTTTATGAAAATCAATTTTATTACTTATTTTACACGTGAGCGCCAAAAGCGGAACTAATGCGACGCACCGTTCTTCACGGGTACATTAGCGCGGCGCACCCAAACACTGTAGCGGATTCACAAACAACATGGCAATGGTCCGGTTTTGCGCCGTCGGACACAGACCAAACAAGTCCTCCTTGCAAAGTCTGTTTAAAAACTGTTGCAACCAAAGGAAGCAGCACGACAAATTTATTCCAGCACCTAAACCAGAGGCACACAGCGGAGTGGGAGAAGTGCAGCTCCCAGCGAAATGAAAATACACACAGCACTAGCACAACATCCAAAGTTAAGCAAGCAACTGTCCCTGAAACATTTTTGAACTGTGTGCCATATGATAAGAATGGGGCACGGTGGAAGGCAAACGCTGTCGCGATGTATATTGCAAAAGACATAGTGCCCATACATACTGTGGAAAAGCCGGGATTCATTAACATGCTAAAAGTTTTTACAAGATTCTAAAAGTGTTTACAATGGCGTGGTCTGCCATCTCATTTACAAGCATCTTTTTTGGCTTGTCAGATTGCGCACAGATTTTAGGCCGTATCACCCAGCTCTACTCAGAAACTAAACCCACACAAAGCTGGGAAATATTAGTCGTCACCTAGGGCAGCAGAGATAAGGGATAAGGACTAAGACTTGCAATATTTGTGAATGCTTCTGGTTGAGGTCCCCAGAACGGCCCAGCTTATGTATACTTAATGTTAAGACATACAGTTGTATACAAGAATTAATCTGTTTCAATTAAACCACCCAATACACAATGAACCAATAATGCCAATGCAAACCATGATGTTACAGGAAAGTTATGAGGCTGCTGTGGCGTACACAATGATGTTTCACAGCACAGAAGTTAGTGCTTCAACATCCACTCAAACACCCACCGATGCCATTTTTTATCAAGAAAGGCTCTTAGTAACTGGCACCATAAGACAGAACAACCTAGTTCAGACTTATGGGAACACAAGTTTATCACTCAGTTCATCACTTTAAATATAAAGATTTAATATGAAGCGGCAGCTCTGAAAAGTAGCTATCCACTGAATGGGTTAGGTTATATATTTATGAAGACCTGCATTTCACATTCAGCCTTTGGCAACTGCAGCGTAGTTGGCATAGAGTAGCACACAGAGCTTAGCTGAAGTGGTGTAACGCAGACAGCCAGGTGGGCCGAGCACAACGGCTACAGCACAGATGAGGCAGCATAGTGGGGACGGCCTAGTAGGTGTAGTTCAGCAGACGAAGCTTAGCTGTGTTAGTGTGGCAAGGACAGCCTTAGTGAGGCAAAAGAGTACACTTAGCGAGGATAATTTAGCAGGCATAGCAAAGACGGTTTAGCATATCAGGGAGAGCTTAGCAGGGATAGCGCAGCCAAGGTAACATCAGCAGTAGCTGAAGAGGCTGTATGCCCAGATGTTCCACATGGTCCACAAGAACAGCTTATTGCACCTCCTCCACTTCTTCGCCGTAATGCTGTCATTATTGATCTACTCCTGGCAAGAGGCCCAGGCAAACTCTGCAGTTTAGCACTGCTGAATGCTTTCATCCCGCTTACATATATCATCACCACAACCCAGAACTTTCTAGGCATCCACACACACCCACTCCTTCATACAGGTCCTTCTCATCTTCTTTTCTGTCTTTTTGCATCTCCTCTATGTAACCCAGAGACACGGATCATACTCATCAACTTCCCTTAAGCCGCTCCACACACACACACTCTTGCCAAACTTGAGTTTATTACCATGGCAACAGGAGACAAGAGTGGGCCAGGGACTAAGTCTGATATGTAGATCTACCTTGAGACAATGGCGCTCAGGTGAGTTCCATGCCAAAGCAACGTACAGTCGAACTTCGTTACAACGTACCTCGGGGGACATTAAGAATTTGTACGTTACAACCATAGTACGTTGTAACCAAGTCCCTCAAAATGAATGATAGAACACAAAATGTATATAAAAAAACTTTTATAAAACACCCCTCAAGTTGACACTATGACATACAGCTTGTGTAGTTTGAGGAATATAGTTCCTATTCTAAATAGGAACTATATTCTTCAAACTACACTCACCTAAAGGATTATTACCATACTAATACGGTGTTTGACCCCCTTTCGCCTTCAGAACTGCCTTAATTCTACGTGGCATTGATTCAACAAGGTGCTGAAAGCATTC